TTCATAAAGAAACCTAGCTTATTTATGTATCTTGTGTTAAATGTTTGTCTTGTGGAATGGATTGCCATCTATGAATAGGACAGTGATATATTCACTATTGATAATCATTGGCACATGTGCCTAAACAAAAAACAATGAAAATATACATTATTTGTTCTACCATAAAATAATAATAATAAATGAAAAAAATGTTAAGAAACAGTTAATTTTAAATAAACATAAAATTCATAGGACCCCAGTTACCCCAAAAACATGCACTGTTTATTAATAACTTAAATTGTAAAACCAGATGTATTGATTATGTTTAAATAACATAAAAAGAAAGTTACTCCGAATAATGAGAGGGAGACCATGATTTAACGTTTTGACCTTTATTGGGTCATTCTTGAAAATACACCCAATAAAGCTCAAGACGTTGATTCATGGCCTCCAACTCCTTATCCGTAGTAATGTTTCTTCTGTGTTATTTAAAAATTGCATAGTTATAATACATACAATAGTTTGATTGCTCAATTGTCTTTGAATATTAAACAATTAATATATACATTATAAAGTATATTTATTATTGAAAAGTGGCTTTCAATATAACATAATTTAAATGGAAAACAAACGTATGAACCATAGATCACCACCCTGACAAACATGCATTGTTGATTAATAACCTATTGTAACGTTATGCTACAAAATACAACATATACCTTGGTTTTATTGCTCAATTAACTTTGTTCTTTTAACTTGTTTACTTTACTTATTGTTTTTCTGACTCATTTTTTTTATGCCTAAGGTAAAGGCATAGAATAACAATTTATTTTTTACTTTATTTCTAGTAGAAACTTTAAAATGTTGAAGTAAAGTGGAGTTCAATTCATCAGAATAACAAACAACAATTTACAGCATTCATTTATGTTAAATGAAAAAGAATCAAACCCACAAACATACATTGTTGAGTAAATGACATTATAAAGTTCTGCTACAAAATATAAAATACTCTACCAGTACATACCTGGGCTTGATTGCTCAATTATCTTTGTCCTCTTAATTTTGTTAGTAGGTCCTTTCTGTTTCACCTTTCTCTTGCTGGTTAAATTTTCCGGTTCTTCATCATCTGTTTAAGAAATTGTGAAAATCTTGCCAAATTTAACATAGCATAGAACAACCATTATTTAAACTTTAAAATGTTTACGTAAAGTGTAGTTCAATTCATCACAATAACAAACAACAATTTACAGCATTCATTTACGTTAAATGAAAAAAAAATCAAACCCACAAACATACGTTGTTGAGTAAATGACATTTTTATGTTCTGCTACAAAATATAAAATACTCTACCAGTACATACCTAGGCTTGATGGCTCAACTGTCTTTGCCCTCTTAATTTTGTTAGTAAGTCCTTTCTGTTTCACCTGTCTTTTGCTGGTTAAATTTTCTGGTTCTTTTTCATCATCTGTTCAAAAAATTGTGAAAATCTTGGCAAATTTAACATAGCATAGAACAACAATTATTTATTAATCCTATATTCATTATTCAATGTAGATTTTCAATCAAACACACATTAGAGAAATACAGTTAATATATTTTATTGCATTATACTTTTGTACCAGGCTTGTGATTCCATTTGTGCGTTAGAGTAGATAACAATGTGTTATTTAAAAATTGCATAGTTATAATACATACCTTAGTTTGATTGCTCAATTTACTTTGAATATTAAACAATTAATATATACAGTATAAAGTATATTTATTATTGAAAAGTGGGTTTCAATTTAACATAATTTAAATGGAAAACAAACGTATGAACCATAGATTACCACCCTGACAAACATGCATTGTTAAGTAATAACCTATTGTAACGTTATGCTACAAAATACAACATATACCTTGGTTTTATTGCTCAACTTTGTTCTTTTAACTTGTTTATTTTACAAGTATTAATTTTCTGGCTCATTTTTTTTATGCCTAAGGTAAAGGCATAGAATAACCATTTATTTCTTACTTTATTTCTAGTAGAAACTTTAAAATGTTAAAGTAAAGTGTAGTTCAATTCATCACAATAACAAACAACAATTTACAGCATTCATTTATGTTAAATGAAAAAAAAAAATCAAACCCACAAACATACATTGTTGAGTAAATGATATTATAAAATTCTGCTACAAAATATAAAATATATTATATACATATCCCCTGCTGAACTTCAACCTTTCTGAATTGGTATGAACCTTTTCCGTTTTTAACAGAAGAAATTCAGGAAAATTTGTATGTGGATTAAAATGTTGATAATTACAACAATTAAAATACAATAATAATCAAATGTTTTTCATAACAATATTTGAAAGATTATTTAAATAATTTTTAAATTTTATTATTTCTTATTGGACTTTTTTTCTTGAAAACATTTACTGGATATACCCACAAATAATGAAAGTTAACTCACCTTCTGATGTGTCTCCTTCCATACTGTTACTCATTTTTACAACGGATCAATCTACGAGGATTGAAAAAAAGTTGAGTTTTCCATTGATTAACATACATATCAACACTACCGTTTTTTTTACCTGATTCATGGCCAATTTTTTTTCTCACATTTTTTCACATGCTTTTTACAAAGAAAATTGCATAGGCATACTTATATTTAATATTTTCTTCTTTGTTTTTGCAATAAAATAGTCTACAAAAATACATCAACATCTATGTTATCATCCAATAATTTGCTTGGTGATAGAAAACTAGCAAGAGCATCGCTTCTAAAATCGTTTTTAAAATGGTGAATAATAACGACAAGAGTATTGTATAAAGAATAGTGACGTAGCTGGACCAGACCTTACGCTGACTAATTAACATCTCAACGAGATTTGATTGACAGATAAACCGACTAATCAACGAGTGTTATTTTTTCATGTGATCAAAAACTTTTTCTTGGATATTTTCATTTCCTTATAGCAAAGATACTAAAAACACATGATAGAGCACTCGCATAGTAAAAATGAGGCGGAAATCGTGCCCGACGTAGGCGGCGCCCTTCTTTTTAACCATGCAAGATTTCAATACTTCGTGCCCGACGTACAGGGCGCCCTTCTGTTGCTAAGTATTTCCAGCATACAGCGCCCTTCATTTTTCACTAATGGAGGAAAACTTTATCACTAGAGTGCGTCCGGCCATACGATTTTGCGCTACAGTATATTGTTTTCTATACTGATCCATAGGCTTAATTGTGTGTTTTATTTGGATAATAGCAACGATTTCTACCTCCACCAAGGAATTATGTATTCACCGTTGTCATTGTCTGAGTACAATTGTACTAATTGTACAATTGTGTACAATTTTTTAATTGAGAATTGCCAATAAAATACAGTACGCAACGACTTGGTAACGAAAGTTTGGTTGAAGTTTTACGCGAGCAGTGCGCATCAGCGACTTGGCCTTTGCCGACAGCAAGGTTGACTGAATTCGGCTATTCCCTCTTCCTTTGGGAGCGAAATACAGAGCCTTTTACCACAATTTCCCCGTCATGTTCCATGAAATAGATTAACACTATAAATATATAATTCATTTGCATACCGCCTACCCTAAATTCTCTTTCTTAAGCCTGGTTTCCTGTCGACGTAAAGGTAAGAATTTCTTACGTTTCATACCTTTCTTACGACTCTTACGCAAAGTTGAAATAATAACGACGTTCACGTTGATCGTGTTGGGCCGCAGATAAAAAAGCAATTTTCAGTCGCTTACGAAAGTTGAACTTACGACGTTGAACTCCATCCAGAGTCCAAAATGAGCGCTTGCGACTGTTACGTTGAGTTGAATTTTTCTTGCGATACGACGACATAAAATGACGTAATTTGTAGTCACTTACGATTGGCTGCCTTTCCCACTAATCCGTCCTTGTTACCCAGGGTTTTCGCGCGAATGTAGGCCTCTACCTCTTTATATTATGAGCTGCACTGTAAATGTTAGCAAAACGTCTAACATTAATAACATGGATTATTGCAAAAAAAGTTAGGCCTACATTATTAAAATACAAAAAGGCCTATTTGATGTTTGTAAAATTCATTTTGTTTCACAAAATAATGATGCTTCGAACATTCCCTGAACATTCGTGTTTTGTAGTACCACCAAATTTTAATTCTGGGAAACTGAATTAATTGGCCACGGCTTCTAGGTGCTTGTCACCCAATCTACTTTGAGAGAAAGATTTAGGACACAAAAAAAAATTGGTACGCGGTAAAGTTGGATTGGTGGTAATTGACAAAATAGATATAAAACGGTCCTCATTCCTGCTGTATAAATGGCCCCCTTGGTTTCTGATGAAATTTGTTATTTTCATTTTTACTACTCTTCTCATTGAAATTTCGCAACGACCAACTAATTTGTTGCAGTATTATATTATTATACCATCATTGTCGTCATTACCATAATCAAACGGTACTGCTGAGCTAGTGCTACTAATCCACTGGCATTGTGTGTAACAGATACATTTTACAACCCCGGGTTTTAAGAACACTGGGACTGCTGAAATTGCTTTAAAAATAAGAACAAATTGAGATAAAATTTCAAATGCGATAATTATGTTTTGTTTTTTTTTAATCTAGAAAAAAATATTTTAGTCTTATTTTTACATAGGCACAGTAGGTGTGACAATGATGATATCCTTCGTAATACAGTACAGTATATTTGCTGTGAAATAATATTTGTCTATATTTAAAAAGTGTGTAAAATAATATATATATATATATATATATATATATATATATATATAGACAATAAACATTTTGAGCTTGATTTAAATTGGCCGAAAAATAAGAACAATTAGCCTCGGCAAAATTGCTGTGGTTCTTATAAAAAAAAGTGTAGACCTGAGTATATTATGCTATAGGCTACTGCATGGATGTGTCGAGTGTTGGTAGACTACTCAAAAAAGCAAGAAACACAGAATTTTCATATATTTTTTCTACTGTAGAACAACCTAACCAGTTTCAGCCACGTCAAAAGATGGTACGTCATAAAGGCTACGTCATAATTCTCGTATCTGATTGGCTGCTTCTTACGATTTCTGGTCCATAATGCTACGTCTCTTACGAAAGTTGACTTGGAGTCAACTTTCGTGAGACGTAACACAAGGCAACGCAAGCATGATCACTCAAGCATAAGTCACTGAATCGCGGTTTCCTGTCAAATCGACGTATCGCATGAAAATTCAATACGACGGTTTCCTGTCCAACATTCCTTTGCGACGATTTAACCTTACGTTACGTCGATTTCACAACGCACCAGTCGCAATCGGTTTCCTGTCAAATCGCATTTTGTTGTGATAAAACGACGTAGTCGTAAGTAAATCTGCCTTCTTACGTTGACAGGAAACCAGGCTTTAAAGAAGGTTGTTGGCAAAGAAAATGTTTGCCAACTCGGTAAGTCTAGCAGCCATTGTCTAAGATTTTCGTGACTTTGTGGGGGGGGGGAAGGCCCTTGGGGGGGGAAGGGCCTTCGCATCCTTGTTGACATGTAAATTAGGTGAAGTTACAGTTGCTAAAACACAGGCCCAGTAATAATCTGTATTAATTTAAGTACCAAATCTAAATTTTGTACCTTGTACTGAAAAGGCCAGCAAATGAGAAAGTGATCTATACAGACATACTGTAGGTCTTCATGGTAGACATTGAAATAATGGTCACCAGGCACAAAGTCATTTGACTCTTTGTATGCTTCCGGTACGAACAAAAGTAGGTCAGAAGTGGCTTCTTCAGTAAATGAATGGTAGTAAAGGAGAAATCGCCCAAAATATTTTCAATAAAGCCATTGCTTTTTATATTACTTTACTTAATTATGTTTCTCAATTATTTTTTTGTTATTTTTTTTTTCTTTTTTGTTTTTTGTAAATTTGAAGATGTTGCTCATGGAGACACATGTGTTAAACCACAGCTGCCCCATAAAGTCTGGATGAAATTACTGTATCATCAACCACGTGTTTGAAGGAGCGCAATATAATTTTCAGTTAATCCAGATGATGCTACTGGTCCATCGTATAACTATAAGAAGTCAAAAGACAATCGTTTGAAATATCAGCATTCTATTTTACGAAACAAACAAATTAAGGAAAATTTGTTCAAGCCGATATTATAATACCAGTCTTGTTCGATTTGACGGAGATCGCTTATTTACCAAGAATACGAGATGAGTGAACATCAGTTGTTGACTTAAAGCTCCTGCTGATTGGTTGATATCACAGAATGAATGATACATTGTTTTGCATACTGCCTAAAATTATGTGGCTGCACCAGATATAAACATTTGCGATTTGGTTGGAAACCTTTATAGTGCTAATAAAAACGAATGACCTTTTCACACTGAGCGCGACCAAATGAATTCCTTGTCACAATTTTAAAAAATCAGGACCAAATAACCCTGAAATTTCAGCCTGCAATCAATATTCAATACAACTGTAGGCCATGAGGCTGGGTAGCGAAGGTTAGGCCTTAAATAGCCCAGCAAAGCAGTAGACTAAAACCTGTATACCGAGGCAGGCCTGGCCTGATTCTTTAACCTGTTAATTTAATAGTAAAGACCAATTCAACTAGTAACATTAGTTTTGGAAGGGGTTAGTGAACACTTAATAATTGCTATATTTTCCATTGAAGCTACAGATAGCATACCACACACATGCCCTTTCTTTTATCATTGCTGATTTTCTGATGACTTCAAACATCACTATCCCCCTCCCCCCAATAAAAAAAAAAAAAACCTCAGTGGGATAAAAATCTAAAAATGCAGTAATAAGCTAATGTCAACAATAAATAAATTGAAATGTAACATTTTACCACAATTGCTTAAAAAAATGAAATGTAACATTTTACCACAATTGCTTAAAAAAAAAAATTAGGTACAGTAGGTAAAAGCCTAATTTTCAGCAATATCTGCGGGGAAATTGGTTCTTATTTTCTGTAATGCGAAGACGGATTTCTAGGCCTTACTACACAATGTGAACCCTGCGCAGTTTATGCACATGTGAGTTTTTTAAAAGATTTTGAAACAACAGCTGACAGCCACAGAGATCCCAAGTTTGAAAACCAAAAAATAGGGAGATTTTTTCGTGAAGCGATCGCCTCCTGTAGCGACGCGCTGTGACACCTTACGACGCGCTGTGCAACATGAAAGTATTACACAAAATGAAGAAAACAAACAAATTTCATTCATTCGTTTACTTTTATTTAACAATTTTACATTTGTTTACATATTGCAGTTGGCCTATATAAATTTATAAATATTATTATTTATTCAGAATTTTGCTAGTAAAGCATTCTTGGCAGCAGTCAACAAGGCTTTGCTTGGTTCATTGGCATATTAGAGGCTATGGCTGAGATTTACTACATCTCTTCAAAAAACATAGAATTCTAGCAAGGTAATTGCAACTTGCAAGATCCACACGTTTGCTGAAAAATTAAAAAATAAATATATATTTAAAATTAGTTAGTAAATCATACTACATGTTTTAAGTC